GATCTCTTGAGTTTTCTTTTCCTTAGTCCTTTGCTTTTTTGAAACAGTTTCACTATAGTGAAACAGTGTTCTTAAGTAATGTATTGTTGTGTTTTGCATATCTTCAAACTTTCTTCGTTACCTTCATGAAACATTTATTGTGTTTATACTCATTATTCAACCATTTCAGTGTTTGATGGTGGTCTCTAAAAGGAATATACCAAAATGTATTCATTGTTTGCTCTATGAATATAGTGTCTGCCAAATATCTACTTCAGAAAAAGAAAATCTTGTGAAAATATTTTAATACTAAATTTTTTGAAACATCATGAGATTAATACAACTCATCTTTGCCCTCTACAACTGTAAGAGGTACTCAAAGTGGCACCTATTAGCTTCCAGACATTTATGAGTACAGTGAACCATTCCTTGGGTCATCTTGGTCACTGAGGTCGTACATGCATGGTCAGCTTTTTCTTTAAGGGCTGGCCAGGTAGTAAGTTTTCTGTGATGCACAACTTCCTTTATGGCCCCCCATATGAGAGTAAGACAGTCTGTTGAAAATGTCATTATTTTTCTGTTCCTGAGTGAGTCTGCATTTTTTTTTTTTTGTAGATTCCACATAGGTTTGTTTTCCTTATTATTTAACTTTTGTTGCAGAAACACTGCCCTGAGCTGTCTTGTACATGTACCTTGGAGTCAAACCCAAGAGTTTCTCTTCAAGCGTGTATAGATTTGGAGCCACAGAACTTTAGATTATGAAGTACTTTAACAAGTAATTCTGTTTTTACCTCCCCTAAACTGAGTTTCCATTGTATTGTTATCCACAGCTTATAAATTTCTTTGGAAATTCATAATGCCATTACATTTCTCATTTTTTTTCACAATTTGATGGGAATAAAATAGTATTTCAATGTGATTTTAATTAACATGGATATATGGACTCTTTTGTATTTCTATTTCTATGAAATGTCTTCTATATTTTAGAGGGTTGTCTTCTTGATCTTAAAGCACTCTATAGATTTTAGATAAATCTCCTACTGGTTGTGTATTTCAAATATCTTCTCCAGACTTATGGCATACTTAAGAACTCTACCCCATTTTTCATAAACACAAGTCAATCATTTTTATATACATTATTTTATCAATAATTTACCCCTTAACATATTTGTACATTATTTATATTTCTAAGATATTCAACTATGCTTTATAATATTTAAAGTTTGGCCTTTCCTAAAGTTTTAATCTATCTGGGATTATTTTATCTATAGAATGTGGGCTAGGGGTTGTCAACAGCCCGGAGCATCTGAGCTCTTTATCTGCATGCAGGCTTACAGGTCAGCCTGCTATGGTTCTGTGAGTACTGGCAGAAGGCGCAAGATCAGAGTGTCGGGATTCACAGCAGTTCCTCGGACCTCAATTCCCACAGGGCGAAGCAAAGAGGTCAGGCGACTAATGCAGAAATGATGGGTTGTATGATAGCTGAGAAACCTACAGTTAGGGAACCCAACTTTTATAATGGACACTAAGCCTGCTTGATTTTGTTCTGAAGAGACACGTCAGGTTTATTTCCTGGAGAGTAATCAAGCCTATTCCTTGCTCCAGAGGGAATGACCGCTTCTATTTTTCAAGGAGGTCTGCTGTATAATCAGTTATCTCCGTGAAGAGAGACTGGAATGGGGACAGCCAGAACGTCTATTTGTAAGACAGGCAAAAATGCCAAGGTCCACGGAGAATCTTCTTCCAGGAGGGATCTATTTTTGACCCTCCACATTAAGGACCAAGCGTCTCAGTAACACAGCTTCTTCTCCTAGATGTCTGCAATGCAAATCTTACCATAATCAAGTTCCCACCTAGAGTGCATGTGTTTCTGGGGTTTCTATTCTATTAATTTTCATTTATCTCTGTGTGAGTTCCACATTTTTGCATGTATCACAGCTTTATAAGTTTTGTTCTCTGTGACAGAAATTCTCTGTCCCACACCCAAATACATAGTTTTTTAAAAAAACATCTTATATATTTTTGTTCTTTCATTTTTCCTAAAATTGAAAATTATGCACATCAAGTTTTGATGCGGAAATACTTTTTCCTTTAGTAAGGTGTTTCTCCACCTTACTGTGCAGGTGTTTCTCCAGTGTCACTTCTCACCACCGTGGTTTAGAGGTCTGTTTCTTGTATTCTGCATGTGTTCCTTCAGAAACTGAGATTGGATCCTCAGACGTCACTGGCAGATGCCTGGGACAAGCAGCAGCCTCCGTGCACGGACTTCTCTGCGTGCTTCCCGCCCGAGGCTGTCCAGCTTGTCAGCACTTTTCTTGGCTTTGTTGTTTTGCAGCATAGCAATGCATTTAAAATATGCTTTGTATATTTCATCTAACATTTCAGACATTTTTAAAATTTTATTTTAGAGGGAATAAAACTTAACAAAATAAAACAGAATAAAGCCAATCAAAACAAAACAGTGTAAGTGATACAGGACTTCAAAACAGGATAAAAGGAAATCAACACTAGCCACCATAGTATATCTCGTTATCTTCAAAATAGCTGTCATCCCATCAGACATAGTAAAATCAAATAAAACAAAACAGAATAAAACCAATCAAAATAGCTCATTGAATAAAACAAAACAATAAATTGGAGTAAAACAAAACAATGAGAACAATGTTGGATTTCAAATACAAGACAGAAGCAAATCCCCATATTTGCAATATTGCATACAGTTGTCGCCTTAATAGATGCTCAGGTGGCCATGCCACCCTGAATGCACCCCATCTTGTCATTCTAGGGATTTTTAATGGGTGTGGTTTTAGGATATCAAAGCCATATTATCAAAAACTGAAGTCTTGCATTAGTATTTGTTTCAAAATGCTTTAGTTTCTCAGAATTGTATCTTGCTCTGAGTGTGTGTTTGTCAAAATATGTTTGAAATGAATAAGATTTCAGGTGGTTTTCTATGATGGTGCTACATTGTTACCAAATAACCAATACCCAGTCAGTCATTAAGCATCATTCATAAGATGACTTTTCCTCATCTGGAACTTTATAAAATTGTAGAACATTTCAAATGTACAAAAATAGTATAATTGAAATCTCTGTACTTTGCACCAAATTTTTATATACACCCCTTTTTTCATAATTGTATGGTTATATATACTTAGAGGTTCTTCCTACCTTATCTTCTATAGAAGTATGTGATAATTTTATTTTACTAAAATACTTTTTCTATACAGTAAATATCCACTTACAAGTGTAACCTGTACAGCATGGCTTTTAAAAGTTTTTATTAGCATATTCTTGCATTACATAATGGTTACATTCATTCTGGGGCGTTGGTGCATGTACATGAAAGATCTCAATTCTCACTTAATTCACCCCCCTTGGCTTCTATTCCTTTCCATCTCCCTTATCTCTTGATCTTCTGCTTATTTGAAAAATAATTCATTATTTCCTAGTATCTATCTTCTTTCTGTTCTTCATTTATAGTTTGGGTCTTTTATATAAGAGAAAACCACATGATGTTTAAGCTTGCATGTTTGATTTATTTCCCATCATACTAAGTTCTCAATGTGCATCTGTTTTCCTATAAATGCCTCAAGTTTATCTTTCTTTATGGAAGAATAGTATTCTATTATGTATAAATATCATATTTTATTTACCCATTCCCCCTTTGATAGACATAATGGCCTTTGGTAAAATTTACCTACTATGAATTATGCTATTGTAAACATGGTTTACATGCATCACTAATGTGATGTCTTTAACGCTTTTAGGAGGATAAGAAGAGAATGAGTCAAATGGGATTTCTAGCTTCAGTTTTTAAAGGACTCTCCATACTCATTTCCATAGTGGTTGTACTAGTATATATTCCCAGCCACAATGTAGGATTCCCTTTCCCCTGCATTCCCACCAGCCTTTGTTATTATTGGATTTCTTGGTGATAGTCATTCTTTCTGGGATAAGATAGAATCCCGATGTTGTTTTAATTTGTCTTTCTTGAAAGGTTAGCAACACTGAATAGTTTTTCATGCTTTTATTTGTCCCTTGTACTTCTGAGAAGTATCTATTCATTTCAGTTATCCATGTTTTGATTTGGTCTTTTATTTTAGGGCTTTAATTTTTTGATTTATTTTGTATTCTAAATGTTAGTCCTCTGTCCGTGGAACAGCTGGAAACTTTTTTCCCACGCTGTAAGTTGTCTCTGCGCTGTGTTAGTTATTTCCTTTACCGCCCAGAAGCCTTTTAGTTAGATATGATGCTGTTTGTCAATTTTGGGTACAATTTCTTGTGTCATTGGGCTTCTTTGGGAAAGTCCTTACCTCCACCTATTGCTTCAGTAGTTTTACCTACCTTATCTTCTGGCAGAGTGCGGTTTCTGTTTTGGGGATTAAGTTCTTGGTTCCAGTTTGATGTGGTTTGGTATCTGAGTGTGGACTAAGTGTTCGAGGCTGTGTTTCCTCTGATGGATTTTCTGGCTCCTCTGCTGAAGGTCAAACAGCTGGATGCACTTGTGGTTGTTCCTGTTTCCTCTGCTATGTTCCGTTGGTTCATACATCTGTACCTGGGCCGATACTATGCTGTGTTTAAATTTACAGCCATGGAACTGGAAGTGTAATATACTAGGAGTGATCTTGGTTTCAACCTATTATGTATATTTGATTTCTTATGACTAATCTACTAATCTTTATGGTCGTAATACTATAGAAGATAACATTTTAGTATACTTTTATTATTTAATAGTCACAGTTTGTGAAAAGTACTTAGTACTGGTTTGGATAAGAATTACAGTGAATCCATGTTGTGCACAATACAAATTATGTCAACATCTCTAATATTCAAAATGGAAAATAGTGACTTGTAAACTTTTTTTTTTTTTTTGTCTTCTTGAGACAGGGTTTCACTGTGCAGTTCAGGCTGCTTTTGAATTCACTTTGTAGCCCAGGGTGGCCTCAAACTCACAGCGATTCTCCTGCCTCAGCCTCCCAAGTGCATAATTTGTAAATTATTGTCCTTTTTTTCTGCAGGTATTTATGAGCCTCCATTTCTTACACTACTGCAGTGAACCGACCTTGGATGTGAAAATTGCCTTTTGTCAGGTGTGTGTTCCTTGCAGGTAAAACAAGGTACAGTATATTCCTTGTATTTTCACTTTGCCATTTGTCTCATATTGTATTATCATTATTGTTTATATCACATTAAAGACAGGTTAGGAAGAGCAAGTGGAGTCTTATGATCTTTTTTCTTCTTCGGTGCAGTTACAAGAGGAAATAGAGTTCTTTTTCTGTTCTTTTGTCTTTCTTTTTTCTTTCTTTCTCTCTCTCTCTCTCTCTCTCTCTCTCTCTCTCTCTCTCTCTCTCTCTCTCTCTCTCTTTCTTTCTTTCTTTCTTTCCATCCCAAGAATCAAACTCAGAATCTTGCCAGTTAGATGATACACCACTGAACTAAATTCCCAGCCTTTTGAGCAATGATAAATATAGTATTTAATCACTGTACAAAGTGATTTCTTACCAATTGCATTGATGCTAAATAGAATATTTCTTTCCAAGTCCTTGAAAGAACACTTTAATGACCAAAATACCTTACACCCTAAGGACTGATGAAATCCAGTATTTTTCACACTCAGTTTGCTTTCTGATGTCTAGTCATATCCAGCAGTTAATAAAAAGCTAAACAACCGCGATGACTAAGAATTGGAGAGAAGACCCCAGCAGTGATTGGTATTTTGCATGAACCAAGTCAGCCGGTACCTCTGTATTCACTTTAACTCTGCTTTTAAGAAAGAGGCTCACTGAGGCTATGTTGACAGTGGTCCCAGCCTGCACTTGCTGTCATGGTGTAAGGCACAGGGCTCCCGTTTGATTTCAAGAACTCTTCTGGTTCACACAAAAATCATCTGCAAGCCCCATCCACCGTCCATACAGAAACTTCAGTCCTTGTGCAGTGATCGTGGCTGTGGCTTCTCACCAAGTGGTGCTGTAAGCAGAAATGGCATGTGAAGGAGCTTGTATGTGAAACAGAGGGTGACATAAATCAGGGTTTGATTCAAAAGCAGCTCCGCTGCTTCTGTTGTTTTAGGACAAGGTTTCCTGATTCTGGAAGTAACATGGGCTTATAATAAAAAGTCTAGAATGGATAAAGGTAAACACAACACTGTTTTGTGTCCCCTCTTTTTCTGCTGATCACTGTTTCTGCGCACAGTCAGGCTTTTGTAGGGAAAAGTTGGAGGTGCTACTTGTTTCGAATAAGACTTACTGATCTGCCCCGTTTTCCTTTCCTGTAAATGTTACAGTGCCTGAAGTTGCAGGCCTTTAGACAACTTGTCTTTTCGAACAGATGCTCTGGTTCCTGATAACCTGCACAAGGATTTCCTGTCCTGCCTCTCAGTGGCCATTTACTTTTGAATGTGGACAAGTTAGCCTGAGAGCTATGCTCCTTTTTCTTCTTATATAAAAGGATAAAGTAATAACTTTCTGCTTGTTAGGGTTGTTAGGAGAATTCCATAAGCTTCTACTTGCAAATCACTGACGGTGGAGCAGGAAAATGTGTTTCTTATGCAGAAAATGAAATTTTAAAGAAGTTTACGTTCACACGCTTGGTGCTTTCATTGAGTCCTAGAGATTTAAATAATACTTGTCTTTTAAATAGTCACACAGCTTTATCTTCAGTCAGAACCACGCTCTGAAGGGACTCAAGCCTGACTGTCTCACTCTTCGTCTCCATGAGGTGTTGTATGGGCAAGTCAGGCAGTGCACGTTCGAGTTAACCCCCAATCTTTATTCAACATTGACCCCTTGTGATTGTCTTCAGCTTAGCAAATGCTAACTCCATCCTTCCAGTTAGCGTAAAATCCTTGCAGATATCTTGTGGGCACGTGCCCCACGTGCTGCACCCCAGCCAGTGTCCTTCACTGCACCTCCAGAAGGTGTTGAGGTCCATCATGTCTCACCATCCTCCCAGCGACCACCCTGATCCAACCTACCTTTGCCTCTTGCCTGGGTTATTACAAACCTTCTCCCTCTGCCTAACTCCTAAATCATTAATTCTTAAATCATCAGAAAGAGCAGTTACTCCTTGACTAGAAAGAAAAATAAAAACCTGTCAATGTCTCTCTGTCTCACTTGGGATATTCTTAAGTAAATACCTATGTCTACTGTGCATCCCCTGAAAGACTCTTCTGCTGAAAGACTCCTTGCTTGGTGTTCCCTTGTCCCCCTCCCACATCTCTTACCATGTTTAGGCTTTTGCTCAATGTTATTTTCTATTGGACTCTTTTCTACTTAAAATTTACTTCCTGCCTAATTCTGTCTGTTCATCTTCCCTCTCTCTCTCCCTTTCTCTTATCACATTATGCACATCTGAGGTATTGTACATGTTCCTGGTGTGGGACGTTGTTTTCCTGTCTGCTGGAGGAGGTGTCTGGCACTTGGGTGGGAAATGTTTTGGGTCTTGCTGGGGCCAGCAGCCTACAGGCTCGTAAGATAGAGACCATCTCTTTTCAACTGGAGTTCAATGATTCCAGGTTGGGAACCAGAAGTCTGTGGTAAATGGAATTTTCACATCCTGGGCAGGAGCACAGATAAATAAATCACCTCTCCACTCCCTGTGGTTGTGAGCATTTCCAGCACTGGACACCACTGGAGTTTAACTCCCGTTTGATGCTGGACTCCAACACTCACAATAGAGGTGACAGCCAAACACATGCCTAAGGAGAGGAGGAATGACAGGCCTTGCTATGGAAACAGTCACCACCTTGGGAAAAGGCGGATCTGAACATCTGGCTTCTGGTCCAGGCCCCACCCCAAGCCATTTTCTCAGTTGCTGTGATCTGCACAGTAAGATTTAGAAACCAGCCAATGAACCGCCACAGAAATCCATGCTTTACATTTTCCTGAACCTCGAAAGGTATCAATAGAAACATCTTAAATATTCAGCCATGTGGAAAGATTCAAAATAGCTTTGTGTGGGTTGAAGTTATTTTTCAAAGCAACCTCAGCATTCCAGGACAGATGTAGAGGTTTATTTCTAGCGAGAGTCCTTTCAAGCAAAGGAGTAAAAAAGGGAAGTGAACTTCCTTAATGCCTGGATTTTCTAGATCACTGTGAAATTCTGATACTTGGAAAATCCACAAGCACATTTTAATAACACGTTGAAAAGTCTCTAAGCATAATAGTAAGCAGGTTGTTTCCAGTTGTGACTGAGAGTTTCTTATTTATTTTCCATGCATAATTTTTATTTTTATAATAACATCTATTTTTATTTTCCCTATACCTGTGTGCCTCATTTATTTCTCCAGTAGTTGGAATTTAAATACTGAATTTATTTTTACAGGTAGATTTATAAGGGTTTGTTTCCAAATTTTTGGAAGCTTGTTACTACATGGGGCATCCCACGATCCTTTATATGCTTTAGCTTTTAAGCGGATCGCCAGCAGGGCTGGGTTCCTTCTTAGTTTCCACCCACAGACAATATTTACAGATATTAAGTTAATTTGTTAACAGTAATTAGTGATCAGATAAGGCCAGAGGCTTACCTGCTTCCCTGCTCAGCTCTCCCCTCCTCTCCCCTCCCCTCCCCTCTCCTCCCCTCCTCTCCCTTTCTCTCCTCTCCTTTCTTCTTCTCTTTCTTTTTTCCTCCCTCTCTCCCTCCTTCCTTTCTTCCCTTACATCTTTCCTTTCTTTCTTTCTTCTTGTAGTATTAGGGTTATAACCCAGAATTTTGACCCATTTTAAGTTCTTTTTATTTTGAGACCAGGTCTTGATAAGTGGTAAATTGTCCAAGTTAAGCCCAAACCAATGATCCTTCTGCTTCAGCCTCCCAGAATGCTGAAGTCACCAGCATGGACATCAGGCTGAGTAACTCGGTCTCTTCACCCTCTGGCTTTCATTATTATTTCATATTTCCATTTTCCACCTTTACCACTTTTTAAAAAAACCACAGAAAAAGATAGAAAATAAAGTTGCCTGGATAGTGTATATGAACAGAGAACATTTACATTATTGATACTGGACTTAACTTTAATTCCCAATTGAGTTCTTTAAAGAAGTGGACTTAGTGACTTTTTAAGCTACTCTTACTAAATTTGTTGTTGTTTAGAAAACCCAACCAAGCATCTCTGTAGTAAGGTATTTCTTGTTACATCCTAGGAAGAAATGGTTTTTTTTGCAATGTTCAGTAATAGAAATATAATCTGTCTTTTGCACAGATCTGAGTCTTTTACCAAAGTGTAGACTACAGAGAATTTAGTTTGCAAATTTTTTCATCCTTTTGAAAAATAGGTAAGCTGATTTAACTTTCCTTTCTTCACTGAACAGACTTAGCATGGTTATATTTCACTCTATGAATAAAAAGATATTTGAAAAGTGTTATTTTGGGGACTTCAGTGTACTGAACAGATGAGTCCTGGCTTCAGCCAGGGTATGTATTTACAGGCAGATAACGGATAATGCATCGGAAGCCCTGCAGCACTGGTCACATCCTGTGTGTGCTGCACGAGGGTTTCAGGCTGTCTGTCTTTGCTCTATCTGGGCAAGACTAGGCATCTCATCCTTGCCTATGGGGCCCAGAAGTTTATCTTAACCCTAGAAATGCTGAATAAATACTTTTGAACGAATGAACAGAAATGAAAACAGCAGAAAACACAGCTTCTTAAGTACAAATGTGTTTGCTTGCTTTTCAAGTCAGATTGATCTTTCAGCATTTTCACAGTTTATAAGTGCGTGTTCATACATTTAATTATGTTTTGGTTACCCTACTAGTCACAGGAGCCTGAGATTAATCTAACAGTTATCAGCGTGTATGGTCTTTGCTACATGTATTACTGATCCCTGAGTTCGTTATAAATGATTTCCTGATTTTGAGAAAGCCAGAGGCATAGAGGGTTCAAATTAATTAATCAACAGAGTGCAAATAAAGCTGAACCAGGGGCACTAGACCAAGCCTCACTGTCCTGATGGCTGAGACACAGACTGTGTGGCCCTTTGTGGGGCTGCGTCAGGAAGCATCCAGGGCACTGAGTGCTCACGGCTGGTGTCACAGTGGCTCACTAATGTCTGTTGTAGATTACGGCTCTGTTAATGAGTTTGATGTAGTCACTCTATCTTGTATACATGCAGCTTCGTTCTGT